AAAATTTAGAAAATTTAAAAAAAAATTTTATAGTAAAAATTTTTAAAGCAAGAGCTTTAAATTTTTATTACTCTAAAAATTTTTAAAAAATTTCATAATAAAGCTTATAAATATATTTTAAATAAAATTTGTTACACCCCCAGATAGCAGGTCTAGAGTTCGAATCCCATAGATGATATTTTCAAAAAATAGCTCTGTAATACAGTTAATGGCTATTATTAATTGGTTAGATCCTAATCTGTAACCTTGGTTACACTATCTAGAATAGAAGCTTTGGTACAATAAATTCAAAGAACCAGAATAACTGAAAACCTATTTGGCAAGTCCCAAGTTGGGAGGTAGTAGTGATCTTTGATGGTGCTACAAAAAGACTAAAGTTAGAACCAGAAACTAAGATCAAAGAACTGAGTGACCAGGTTCTTAAATAGGAGGACACACTAGCCGAACCACTAAACTACCAACTGGAGAAAAAAAATATATGCTTTGGAAGCATGTACCAAAGAAAGTGTGACTATAAAGTACTTAAAGCCTAGGCAGACCAACTCTTTCAGGTTGCTAGCTAGAAGTAAAGGAGGGACTGGTAAAGAATTTAGAGATAAAAGAAGTTAAAATGTAAGTACCAGGATTGTTGTGAATCTAATAAGAGCAAAGAGTATATAATAAGTGACTAACTAGAAAGGTTGTGGCGTAAGTGACTGTGAAATGGTAGCATCCTAAAAGATAGCATGAGATACACATATAGTACAACAACACAATATGTACTAGTTAGAAAGAAGTTACCAAACATGCAGGTAAAAACATGTGTGAGATATAGACTACTTTGTTAGATTTATCTTAAGGATAAATAGTCCTAAAGTAGAGTACAAAATTCATATAGGTAGATGGCAAAATTCACATATATATGGTAAGCTAATATTCAGGATTAGGTGTTTGAGATATACAGTTGTAACTAGAGTGTTTAAATGGGTATTTCTCATAGTTAGGGTGCAGGTATGGCAGATAGTGTAGAACCTTCAGGTAAACTATTTAAATTAGACACCAAAAGTGCATTTGTGGCTTGATATACCCTCGTTGTAATTGTAAACATATCTATATACTTAATAAAAAGTTCCCAGGCTAAAGAGATTATCTTAATATCAAAAAATATATATATATATATATATATATATTTTAAATAAAATATTATAAAGGGTGTGGCAACTTAGAGTAGTGGTAGAGTTGTTGCACCCCCAAGCTAGTTTGACTATGGTACCGAGTTCGAATCCCACTAGCGACGTTTCGAACAAAAATACCTATTTTATAGTAACGGATCTTCATTGATAAGTCGGGTTCTATCATCTGTAACTCTGGTCACACAAAGCACCTTATACATTGGAAGGTTCTGGAAGCATTCGCGTGATACTTGGGTTACACGAAGAAATGCAAACTGGTATAGGCGGCGCAAACCCACGATAAGGCTTCCAGAACTATATAAAACCGATAGAGAGGACTTGAAGATCTGGAACTGGCTTGGCAAATCCTGAGTAAGGAAGTAGTGAGGATCTTTGATGGTAACACAGAACTGAACTGGACTGAACCGTAGAACTGGTGGAATCGGGCGACAAGATTCTAGAGGTGGGATCTACCAACTAGGCCGCCGGATTCGCACTAGAGAAAAAGGACTTGTGCTCTGGAAGCATGTACTAAGTGAAGGATACCCAAACGGCACCTAAAGCTAGGGAGACCAACCCTGCCAGGCCATTTGGATTAGAAGGCTGAGGAAACCAGGGACATGAGGTATGAAGGTGATGAGAAGTGGGTACCGGGATCTAAATACTGAACCTTACAAGGGTAGTAGTAGGTAATTGTAGAGATGAATAACTCCCGAGTATATGGGTCAAGCCGTAGCGTAGATTACCAAAGTCTAGGTATATACTCTGTGTGGGATGGGGCCACTCTGGCAGGTTTACCTCAAGGATAGACTAACCTAGAGTTGGTAAGTCCTAAGGTATAAACAAAATTCGAGCAACCGAGTTAGAAAACCCACTTAGTGAAATTAGGTTAGGATTAGAGGGTTTAAATAGGTAACTTCCTAGTCGAGTTGCAGGTATGACAGCTAGTGTAGAACCTAGGACGGACTACTTAAATTAGACAATCAAAAGTTGTACAAGTGGCTAGTCGTACCCTCATTAATAACCAGAGGATTTAAATAGGTAATCTCCTAGTTAGGTTACAGATATGGTAGCTAGTATAGAACTCCGGACAAACTACTTAAATTAGATAACCAAAAGTTGTACATGTGGCTAGTTGTACCCTTATTGTAACTGAAACTTAACTTCTAATAAAAAGTTATAGCCAAAGAGGTCATCTTAATACCGAAAAAAAAAAAAAATTACTTTTAGTTTATAAATATTTGTTGACTTGAAACTAAGTATATTTAGTTTAATTCAAATAGATTTGAACTATTTTAAATTTTTTCACTATGTTATTTGTAATTTTACATAACTTTATCAAAATATTATAAAATAAATTTCGAAATATTACAAAATAAATTTCAAAATATTATGAAATATATTTCAAAATTTAACTTAAATTATTTCAAACAGTTTCAAATTATTTCAAATTAATTCAAAATATTTCAAATTAGCTTACATTAGTTTGAAATATATATTTTGTAATATTTCGTAATAAATTTTGAATTATTTTGAAATAATTCAAATTATTTCAAATTATCTTATAGTTTGAAATTTATTTTATAATATTCTGAAATATATTTTGCAATATTTCAAAATAATTCAAAATAATTTGAATTAATTTACATTATAGTTCAAAATATATTTCAAAATATATTTCATAATATTTCAAAATATATTTCATAATATTTCAAAATATATTTCGTAATATTTCATAATTTATTTCGAAATATTCTGCCTAGACTGTAATTATTGCACAATATTTCAGATTGTAATAACTTACATAAATTTTTGTTTATATATTTTGCTGATATAATTAGTGTAAAATCTAGAGTAAACTACTTAAATAAGCAACCAAAAGTTGTATATGTGGCTAGTTATACTCTTATTTGTAAAAACCAAAGAGTTTAAATAAATAATCTTCTAGTTAAATTATAGATATGATGGCTAGTATAAAACCTTGAGTAAACTACTTTATATAAATAACCAAAAGTTGTATATGTGGCTAGTTGTACTTTTGTTGTAACTAAAATTTAACTTTTAATAAAAAGAAAGGCCAAAGAGGTCACCTTTAATACCAAAAAAAGAAAATAATAATAATAATTATAAGTATATATTTAAAAAATTTTTAAAAATACCTATAGAGTATAGTACTCTATATATATAGTTATTAAAATAGTATTAGGGTTAGAATTAAAAATGTTTTAGATGTAAAATTAGTTATATACTAAACATTTTTACTTGAGCATTATATTGGTTCTCTTAATAACGATGTTTTTTTTTCTTATATCGGGTACAAATTCTCTATTATATATTTTGAAAAATATAGTAAAAAATTTACACTGTACACAAATTTACAATAGTGTCCTCATGAGAACTCTGAGAACACTAATTCGAAACTGCTAGAGACACTAATTATAAGTGACGAAAAAAAATTTTACTCAAGTGCAATTTATTACTATATATATACGTATAACGATAACGTTAATAATGAAGATCTCTGTAATTGGTCAAAAATTCTGATATAAGTTTGACAAACGTTTGCACAAATGTCTTTACATTTCAATCCCGCAATATTTACGTACGTACTTGGCATTGTCCTTTTCTTGGCCTTACATCACTTATCATTTACTGGCATCTACAGTATATCACTTTTTTTGGCCAGCTCGAGTATTACACAAAAGATAAGTAAACATAGTTGTAATCTTTTGACCATTTTTAAAATTTATTAGCCTCTATGCTACTTTAAACTTCTATCTTTACGCACTAAGTTTATTTACATAATTAAACTTCCTTTTTGGTTTGTGTTACTCGCGAAAATAAGTAAATCCGTATCGATATTTAAACTGATCTGACATCTTTAAAACGTTATCAATTATATATATACTTCATGCTCAAAAATATACGACAATATACTCAGTTTAGCGCCTACCTTTTTCATTGTTTCATTAGAGTTTAAAAAGGCCGGTCTCTTCAGAAGTTTCGTACTTTGTTAAGAGCTTTTCCTTTTCCCGTGGGTTGTCTCATCAGGATTTGTCGTTTTTTTCGCCGTTTCACTAGAGTTTCTCCAGGGGATCTCATTTTTCGTCTTTTTTGGGCTTAAGTTCCTTCTTTAACCATTACATAAATGGTTTCACCTAAAGACTATGCACCTTCCTTATATAATCGCGATTGGTCTAAATATGATCTTCAATACGTTTTTTTACTCATATTAAGTTTACTTCTTTTATATATTATCGATTCACCTGGAGTTTGGATCAAATCTTTTATTGTCTGCATATTTGTAGCTGGACTTTATCATCCAACCACAAGAATTTTTTTTCTTCCATTTCTTCCTATCGCTTGTTGGTTGGTTTTATTCTATTCCTGTAGATTCATTCCTGAATCAAAAAGACCTCATATTTATGTATCGGTATTACCAGCCTTGGAGAACATTTTATATGGAGATAATTTATCCACTATCGTTTCAATGCATACAAATGTTTTCAAAGATGTCTTGGCTTGGCTTCCATATGGCGTGTTTCACTTTATGCTGCCATTCTTCACCAGCCTGGGGCTTTGGTGGTTTGGTCCTCCCGGGATTCTAACTGTTTTTGCAAAGGCTTTTGGTTATATGAACCTTGCTGGTGTGTTGACTCAATTAGTATTTCCTTGTTCTCCACCGTGTAAGTATTTAATAGCCCAGAAGATAGTATGAGTGATTGATAAAGTACGGGACAGAATAAGATATCCGTTAATACTAGTAAAATTTAAATTGGTATAACTTTTTTAAAACAGTCTAGAACAAAAATTCCTCTTACAGTTTTATAGTCTTTTACCTTATTAATAAATCTGAAAGAGAGATTTTTGATATTTCTAATTTTAAAAAAAGTTATAACAGTTTAATTATAAATTTTAGAAATTTAACGCTTTATACGTAAGGCCATAGAAGTTAATTTTTAGTTCTTATAAACTTTTAAAAAATGATCTGATAATCCGGCTTTTAGTTCTATTTTTATATATAGAAAAAAAACACAAAAACTAGCTGGATAGTATTTTTTTAAAAGTTTGGTAAAGTTTGACCCGGCTGAGTTATAAAATTTGGCGCATTGAAGACCTTATACTGTTCCATACTGTATATGTTTGATTATAGCTATATTAACTCCGCATTGTAAACAATAATAAAAAAGTCTTTTTTTTTTAATTTTACATATTTATGTCAAAGTTAATCAATTATCTTAATTATCTTTAAATAGGGTATGAATACGTGTATGGAATGAATACCCCTGCTTCATACTCAATGCCGGGTCACGCTGGAGGATTGATTCGTATTGACGAATTGTTCAACTTTAACACATATGAAACTGCATTTAATGGTTCTCCAATGGTATTTGGTGCTTTTCCTTCTTTACACTCTGCATGCGCAATTATCCAAACTCTTTTCATCTCTTACACTTTACCAAAATCTCGTCCCTTATGTTTGACTTACGTATTCTGGATTTGGTGGGCCTGTATGTATTTGACACATCATTATATGGTTGATTTAGTTGGAGGTGGTATCTATGCTGTTGTAACTTTTTGGTTTGCTTGGAATTGGTTACCACCCGTTAATTTTACTAATGATTCTGATAACTCTGATGATAATGTTAATAGTACTTTGTTAATACAAAACAATGATAGTAGTTCTTCGATACCTTCCGATGTTAAAATTTTTAATTCCGATTGTAATGAATTTAAAGTTGAGATTGATAATATTAATCTTTGATAAAAAAGATTATAAAGATATTAAATCTTGTAAAGTTGTATTTTATAGTATATATATATATAAGAGCTTTGGCAACTTCATCAGGAAAATTAAATAAGTGTAAATCTGCAAAAATGCAGATTTTTTTGCAAAAAACTGCAAAATTTTTCATAATTTGAAAATTTGCACAGAATTGTATTTAATTTCTGTGGCTATAGCTGCTGAGTCTGAAGTATTGCGCAGATTTTCATTTAAATTTATTATTTAATTTTTTTTGCAAATTTGCGCAAAACTGCACTAAAAAAAAAAATTCTGAAGACAAAAATATCACTTAATATGTACTATGCAATTACCAATCAAAATGCACGATTTTTAAAAAGATTTATCAATGTTCTTTTACAGAAGTTCGAAATGTTGTTTATACAGTATAATAATTTTAGAGACTTGTTATTGCCACCCCCCCATTTTTGTTAATGCCACCCCCAAATATCAAAAAGTGCCCTAAAAAGGTATTTCTATTAAGTAAATCTTTATTTTGATCTTAATAAAAGTTGTTCATCGGGCCTTTCTGGTTCCAATGGTAGTAAAATCATTAAAATTGGGCTAGTGGTTTTTTTTTAAAAGTAAACAAAAGTTAACTAACTTCGGATATATATATCTTAGGAACTACTAATCCAATTTTAATGATTTTACTACCATTAGAACCGGAAAGGCCTGATAAACAACTTTTATTAAGATCAAAATAAGAATTTACTTAATAGAAATACCTCTTCCGGTGCACTTTTTGATATTTGGAGGGTGGCATTAACAAAAATGGGGGTGGCAATAACAAGTCTCTAATTTTAAATGTTGATTATTCAATTTTATATACAAATTTTATTTTTGCAAAAGGTTTTTTCTATAATAATTTCAAATTTGTAAAACCTTAAATTACAAAATCTTGATTTTTAATTTTTTTTAGTTTAATAAAAATATTAAAGTATACTAACTTTTGTAATATAGTATTTTGATTAATTTTATAATAATTACTTTTTAACAATTTATTTTATTACTTTATTTCTTTAATAAACAAGTCTGTTTTGTTAGTTTGAATTTTGCTAAATATTAAATATTTTATTACTAACTATAATATTACCAGAATATTTATATTTCAAAAATATACTAAGTATATAAACAGGATCTGGTATTCTAAATAAAAATGTTCAGAATTTCTAAAAAGCTAAAATTGGAATCTTATATTAGCTCTATATTATATTATATAAAAAAAAAATTCTTAATACCTGCACTTTAATTTTAAAAATAATTAGAATAATAATAATTATTACTATGATACTCCAAGTTACTTCTCATCAAAAATCATGTATTTTTTAAAAAATCTATAAATCTTAAATTTTAAATATTTTTTAAAATTGTAACCAATAAAAACTATTGTTTTTTATTAGCTCTATCCAAATTATCAGTTGGAATTTTTAAAAAAGTTTATGGTTTAAAGTTATAAATATTTAAAGCTACTATGTTTTCAAAATTTTGGCATTTAATATAAAATAAAAATAAAAATTTTTTTTTAAATTTTTTTTATCCAATCAGCATTAGTATATAATGTATTCTGATTGGCTAAAAAGAATTTATATATACCCAAATTTGGTGCATTTGATGTGAAGTGACTTGGAGCACCATAGTTATTTTCGCTTATTAGTATTACCTGAAAGGCAAACAACATTAATGTTAATAAATAACATAATAGTAAAAATAAATACATCTAACTAAATATGTAATTATCTGTCAAATAAACTGACGCACCTTAGATAGCATTAAATAAATTAACTCTTTAGGCTAAGGTTAAGTTTGAAGTGGCCAGATTGGTATTACCAGTTTTTCTAGATAAGGATAAAATCCTTATATTCAGTCATTAAGAATTTAATTGTTACAAGTATAACTCGGAGTTTATTTGTTTGTTGTATCTTTATCTGATACGCTTGTCTATTATTGTTGTACTTGAGATTATAATAATAGTAATGTCTTTTTAATTTGTTCAATATATTGTCAGGTAATTTTGAAAGGTCAATTACTTTTGGATATTTTTCCAGTATTGTTGCGATTTTAGTTCTATTTTTCTTTTCAAAGATAGTTAAGTATTTATATCCCATATAAAGATAATCAAAATTCATGAGTTGTTTTTCTATTCATTTTAATAGTGCTATTTGTTTTTGAACTGAGGTTTTAAATAGTTGTTCTTTTTTAATTTGTTTTGTAGTTATCATTTTTTTATTCATCATAATTTCTTAAAATTCTTCTATTGTCAATAGTGTTAGCTCTTTTTTTTCAGATTCAGAGTCTATTCCTTTAAATAGTTTGGCAAATATTTTCTTTGGATTTATTATTCTATATTGATGTACAGTTTTAATTCAGTTTACATATTCTAGTATGGGATAGTCTTCAATTCTTTTGAATATGTACAAAAGATTTTGTACTATTATTGGTACAAGGAGTACAGTATAACCTCGATATAACGAAGCTCTGTAGCTAGAGGTTTTCTTCGTTATATCAAAACTTTATTAATAGTTTC